TATATGGTATATATATATATATATATATATATATATATACAATAATATATAACATATATATATATTTATATTTATATGTCTATGTATCTGGGTATGCTTTCTTCACCCGATTGTCACTCATCGTTGGTATGCCCACAGGTAGATGTTGTGGATACTCTGCTATCTGCACTGGTATGTGAGGAGGATCGGCATGCCATCGACATCAACGGGTTTGATTTGTACAGGCACAAAGTCACGAACACGATGTTAGCTGGCAAGCAGTTGATCGTTACTTTCAAAGTGCCTTCCTTGCTTGAAAGACGTCCAGAAGTATGTCGCATTCAATCTTACCGTATCGTTTGCCGTGTAATCGAGCCCAGTATGCAACGCATGACAGAGCTTCTCATACCAACCTATCGAGCTGCCGATATACCTCGCATGATGCAATACGCGTAAATATTTATGTACCCGCGGGGTGCACTGTGTTTGGTTATCCTATTTTTCGTACTCCTAACAGTGCGAGATCTGATTCGATGTATAGACTTGGGCCGTGTTCTGCCATTCGGCGTGGAGCTCAGAGTTCAGAGCGATAGCGGGCCACACTCGCGGCATCGGCCACTCGCTTTTGTTTGTTTGGTTGTTTGTTTGGTTGTTTTTTCGAAAGGTTGTTCTGGTGCGGTACTGTGCAACCTGACTGCTTGGACTGAACTGAAAAACACTCGTCTAATGCGCATGCCCCCAATTCGGTACAGATATTGTTCGGCCACACTGTCCGCATACGAGAGGAGCTCAGCATGCACAAAAAAGAGCTCTTAGCGACAGTCTTCAAGGTGTGACAGGATGACGTGTGCTATCTTGCCGTGTATAGTAGTATAATAGTAAACCCCGATGTCGAGTAATCAGCTTTTTTATTTTATGAAATGTTGAGTTCGGTTCAAGGATAGTTGCACTGTCGACAATTAAAAGTGATTTATTCCGATTGGGAGGCGGAAGTTTAGAGCATATTCAGTAACTCGCGTCGGAACGGTGATCGGAATTGCTACTCAAGCAGAGCACATGCATTAGGCATACATCGCCCTGACCGTTTCGCACTGTACGTCGTTTTTACACGACGATATGTCCAAAGATTTTGTCCGTGCGTGGATGTCACGGGAGTATTGTGGCTGTGTTGGGTCGGTTCTATTCGCAGTTTATTCACATGACATCTCCGCTTATTGTTGGTGTGGGCAGGTGACGCGTGATCTCATACAGGTGCTTGTATTCAAGAAACACCACAAGATGTTTCAAAAAAAGTGTCGCCTATTCTTACGCTTTATGGTAGATCATCAGCCGTTCAAGGTGATGGCCTTCACTCTCCAGTGTGTGCGTGCCAAAGGGCTATGGCTGGAAGAGGGTATGCTCACAAGCCTCTCTTTACGTATATTTCTATCCTGTGAGAACGTCCGCAACCATTCACAAATGAACGAAATAGGGTTATACGTGAACAGGGGCAATCATAGGCGTTGCTTGCTCGCTGCTTGAGCGGTAGTCATGCACAGTTCTTAGTCCTGTTTATCATTAAGTCTACGGATATGCTAGTGTCGCTATCCTCATATTGTCACAAGACAATCATTCGCATATTCTGGTGGTCCTCTGTTAGACGATTCTGGGATGGCCAACCGATTCTGCTCACTAAACGTCAGCGTACAATCCTGCGGAGTTCTTCTGTGTTTCATGCGCGTATTTCCAAGTTCAACCATTCGTTCCTTTATACGACGCATGTTCAATAGGAGAAAACAGGCACAAATGCGAATACATCCGACAAGAGTCCCTCCAAAGACTCTCGGATCACTCATCGAGTGCGATCGAAAGCAGAGCTGAGTGTGTTGAGGGGTTGAACACAGAGCAACGGGAAGCGGCCACCGGAATTGCTGACTGCTGTGAGGGGGATGTGTACCTGGTGCATGGTCCACCCGGGTAGGTATACAGGTGTACAAGTTTTATGACATCTCTATCCTAAGCATCTCAATCCGCAATGATACAAACCACGAGTGTCGATGTTTACACGCGTAGCACACACACGCAAGCAGTTGAGACATTACATAGGTACCTGTACATGTATGTAGAGTGTCGACTTGAAGTGGCGACAAACAATATTGGGATTGTGTGGATGGTTGTGCGCTACATATTGAACAAGGGGGATTGGGTGTTTGTAAAAGACGCTGTGTGTGCGCCAGATGGCGCTTTTGGGATGTAGTATTGCTTCGCTCTTTAGAAAGTCCTTTTAAGATCGATGTACTCGGACGGAATGAGTGAGCTGGACATGGCGGTTTGTGTTTATGTGCCACTCTTTTTGTAAGCGAATAAAAGTATCATATTCACAGCACGCCACAACGTAGCGAACGGGAATATGTACGATCCAGTAGGCGTTTGTTAAAGCAGATAGTTTGAGCATGTGAACCTCACACGTGTGTGCGCCCTTGCTTGAGTGTTTTTAAGGTGCATGTGGCCGCTACTGTGAGCCTGCATATGCAGTGTGAGAGCACCAAGCCTCAATCAGACACGATTCACGTTCATGCCTTTCTGACTGTCACCACTTACTGCTAGTTGCCACAGGCGACCACTTTACAGGCTATTAAGAACTGTCGTGAGTGATCTGCGACACGGATTGTCTCGTCTCCTTAAGCTCGCTTGCAACGCCGCACCTAAAAAAAAATCTATGTTCCGCATCTGTTGTGTTCTCATTCCTATTTGATCCTCTACCTGCAGCACTGGGAAGACCACGGCCGTCATATCCGCCACACGTCTGGTGATTAGTTCGGGTCAGAAAGTACTGCTGTGTGCGCCATCGCATGCTGCCGCCGATGTGCTCGTGCAACGGCTGGCTGAATGTGTGCCAAACCCTCGTGAAACCATTCTGCGCTTGTATCCGTACCAGGTGTGCTATTATAGATATTGTGCATACGCCCGGCGGGTGCATGACCGTGGCCATTGTGTTTGTTTGGAGTGTGTGCATATGCTAGGAGTTTCCAGAATCTTTGTTGTTGAGTGGATACCTGTTTTGGCCCCGTCTGTGGTAGATTTGTGAATGTGTCAGGTGTAGAGACGATTCATGCTAGGCATATCTTTTGACCGTCGCTGATTAACCTATTTTTCTGCAGAGAGACTACTCGAATGTACCGATGGATGTGAAGCCTTATGCCCACTTCGATGCCGTGGCAGGTATGAGTCAAGCCTGTCGGACCCTTTTTGTGTCATGAAGGTCGTTGGTAGTTGTCTGTTTGGGGTTTGAGCACGTGCACGTTTGACCCAGTTGCTTGTTAAAAGGTATGAACACTCTAAATTGGTAGTCTGAAAAAGTATGTAGTTTGCGACGCAAGGCTATATGTACTTCACTACATTGATATATACTCTTAGTTGACTTGTCTCTTGACAAATAAAGGGTTGATTCTTGCTACATCTATGTACGGTATTGCTTTATATATACCACTTTGAATATGTCTTTTTAATCAATCACTTTCGAGAAAGTATTTCTCCTACCTTAGAATGGGCGATGTATGTCTTGACATACTCCGAGATCCTTATATTGCGCCTGAGGCTATCTCACTCCCATGTCCCACATACAGGCGTGTATGTACCTTGACGTCCAGGTCTTCCCTAGATACAAGGCCGTCTATATGCTATACCCAACAAAGGGCTGATATATTTTTCTCACCTTACGGGACCCCTATTTGCTTGTAATCCATAAGCGGTCTCCTCAGAATTATTCCATATCCGTTTACGTATTCCAATACTATATCGATGTTAATCCTTATGTGTATATATGCATCTAGTATCTAAGGCGTTCGTGCTGTTGCATACATCACCACCTACGCTCCACTTTACAATCTCTTATGTTTGTCTTTCCTGGACCATGTCTTCTTGATGCGGTAGCGTGCCTATCTACTTCGCAATATTTTAATAGTAGCTTTTACTCACGCATTACAACCAATCTATATACACTCGCATACAGCATGATATCTGTACAGCTCTCGCCTAACCTACACAGCGTCTGCAGCTATCTGCACCTCATCTCACAGGACCGACCCTATCATTCCCATATGGAAACCTAACTTAAAAAGAAACCAAAAATCCATCTACAGGAATGTTCGTGTGCCCACCCCCTGAGGTACTGATGGCGCGGTCGATCATCGTGTGCACGTGTTTGTCAGCGGCCATTCTAGCTGATGTTCCTTCGCTCCGAGGCACGCTGTCGCATATAATTGTATGCTCCACTGACATGTCTTGGTGTTTGTGATGACCTTTTTATTCTTTTTGTTGTTGCATACCGTGAACGTTTGTATGGCTCGGGTCGGTTCTCAGTGGACGCCTTGTGTTTGTTCGTTCTCGATTTGGGCATATGTAGTAGGGTTCTTATGGTTTAGGGTTCTACTTCCGATTCTTCGTTCTCGATTTGTGCGGTTGTTATATGGGTATGAGCCCCGTCTCAGCGTAGTCCATGTATTGTATTAGTAGGCGGAAGAGCGAGAGTCTTGTTGACTGTCATTGGATGTTTCTGGTAATCTTTCAGAGTTGGATGCATGTCGTGTCCTGATATGCCAATTCGTATCAGATGTGAAGTGTCAAAATTGTATACGTCATGCGATAACTGACACCACAAGGTTACCTACCGGGCCTTACCCTGTTCACAGATTGATGAAGCGGCGCAAGCGACGGAACCAGAAGTGCTGGTGCCCATCTCGGCTGTCGGGGCCAAGACCACACGGGTGGCTTTGATTGGAGATCACAAGCAGGTGTGTTATTGCGACTCTAGAGAAGTCTCTAAGCAAATGTGGTTGTTTTACATAACATTGCTCAGTTTAAAGCAGATTGGTCAGCTTGGCTGGGTATTTATTTCCGTGTGTCAGTAGATGCAAATCAAAGATCAGACGACTTAGTTGCATAGCAGGGGGTGTTTTGGTATATGAAGATAGCCGGTGTAGTATTGAAGTTTGACCTTCTTCGATTTCGCAATCAAATGGGCTTGTCATACAGGCGTATAGAGAGGATAAAGTAGCTCGAGTGTACACCTATCTACCCATCCCCACTGTCGTATTCCAATTCCAATCAAATCGACTAGTCACGTAATTGGGTCTGATACGAGACCCAACGGACGCCATTTCCCTTCACTTACCCTACCACCGATTCGTCTCGACTCGCCACTTGACAGCTGGGGCCTGTAGTGCGCAGTGCAGATGCACGACGAATGGGACTACATGTATCGCCCCTGGAACGGCTATGTAAGCTGCATGCGGACGGTGACGCGTCGTCGTTGAATAGGTAGGTAAATCCTGAAGATGTTGAGTACTATCGTGCCTGTACTCATTCTGTCATCGGCATGTGAACACTAGTAGGTCTGGAGATATCGTGCACAAGGATAGTTAGCGGCTTTCTTCTGCGGGAGAGAAGCCATTGGATTCAGATGTAGAACTGTTGTGCACATGCACATACACGCATTTATAAAGTCACACATGCTCTGGGGAAACTGACCTTCACTTCTTGACACATATTTTGCCGAGGGCCTATAGGACTGCTATTGCGGTTAAGGTGCTGATAGTCGCGAGTGTCCACGTGCATGGCTAAATCAGCCTTGCCTGCCGCATTGTATCTCTCCGTAGTGACACGCAATTGTCTGGCTGTTTTGCATTCACATTCAGTGGCTTTTGTGATGTGAAATCCAAAGTCTTACCGTGTGTGCATCCGTATAATCAGAGCTTGCTGATATTTTGCGCATTAAAACGGTTTGTTACGAAACCATTACTCTTTTGTTACTGTAAACACTGACGTGTGATAGAGGTTTCCCTTGCTGCACTTTCTTGGGCGTCTGTCCAATTACGAAGGTTCTGACCAGGGACACTCTTTATTTATTCTGCTACAGGCGGATTCTTCTCACTCAACTGACTAAAAACTATCGGTCCCACGAGACACTGCTTGAGTTGCCGTCAAAGGTGGTTGTACACTATACATGCTCGATTGTACGCGCGATAGAATGGTCGGATACGTTGCTCGAACTGTGATGTGCTCCTGCTGTGTAGTGTGTAGGGATGTCTGCCGTAGGCGGTCGAGCGATGAGTGAACATAAAGATGTGATGTGATATAGTCGACAAGTTTTTGGCTTCCTTCCGTGCCGCCACACTTGTTTTGCACGTTGTTTATGTGTACCTTCGTTGCACGCAGTCGGTGTGTGATCTGTTGAATGCCGTTGGGTTAGTGCACGGCGTTTGCACGGGCTGGCGACGCATGTGTCGCAGGAGTTGTGTAGTGTGCCATACTTAGGGCTGCCTATCGAAACACACCTCGTATGCTGTTATCTACTGTACATCGCACGAGTGCGTAATCCTCGCCGTTGTGTATGTCAGATGTGCTCGCACGGTGACCACTTGTCCGCACGCCATGCACGCACGACAGCGATCGATGTCTCATTGTATCGGTCGTAAAAGTCGTATACATCCATATATACATACATACATATATATTGTATTTGTGGAAGTGTGGATGTGTGGATTCTCATTGTCCTGCAAAAAAGAGAGCGAAACTCTTCAACACCACGTAAAGAAACCCTTTCTCTTCAATCCCCGCACGTCCTGCGCTTGTCGCCGCATTACAATGACAGCTCTTCTACAATAACTCGCTCGAGGCGTGCTCTGAAAACGCCACAGATCAATCCCTGTTGGCGTGGGAGGAACTTCCTACGAAGGCACCGCTGCTCTTCTACGGAGTGGCTGGGCATTACCATCAGGACGGAGACAGCCGGTCGTACTTCAACGACACGGAGGCTAGTCTGGTGTCAAGTACGTTTGCATATCTATGTGTATGTGTATGCTTGTTTTCAATGGTCTTGATAGGGGTGTGTGCGTGTGTATTTGTGTTGGCCCTAGTGCCTCTGCCCGGGGTTATTTTTTGAACACGCGTGTGTGTGTTCATAGGTGTTTTCTACTACCGAGACCGCGACAGTCAGACGTACATTCATGAGTTCAACAGCTGTCCGGCATAAAGTGCGCGTGTGTAGTGTTCGATACTACGTTATGTCAATCGAGCTATCATCAACAACAACAATGCTGGTATCCAGCACATCCGTGTGTAGCTTTGTGCGTATGTAGGCCATATAGTCACAGTGTGTGTGGCTGTCCCTTTGGATATGGATGTGTCTGTGTAGGAGAACAGTTGTCGACGCTGCGTGAAAGTGTCAGTGGAGAGATTTGTGTGGCTAAAACACTTTCTGCCCTTGAATGTTGTGCTGGTTCTGTCCAGAGGTTCGCGAATGTACATATATATCGACACCTAGATGGTATGAAACAAAATTCGCGTAGAAGGTTTGCGCACGTTCTTGCTATATATCCCGCTGTTTCATAAGTGGCCCATAGTCCTATTCGCATAGTAAGATGGGTTTCCCCACCAAGTCTCTTCGCTTACTTACAAGTCCGAGCTTATGCCATGGTTCGACGTGATTTGATCTTGTCGTGCCGTGTGGTACTCATACTCATAGATTTGTGAACCGCCACACGTGTGCACCCATAATGATTATGATCTTACCTTTTTGAGGTGCCTGCCAATACATGCCTTCCACCACTTCAGAAGTCGTGAAAAGACTGTACAATATATTTCGGAAGCTGCGTATGACAGTCATTTTTCTTGTTTACAGTACGTGTATATTAAAGGGCCTATGCGAGAGTCGTTTCATATCACGGGAAACTATGGGAAGAGTTACGAACAATTCGGGAGCATACATACTGCCCGCCTCACAAAAGCAACAGCCACGACTAGTCATTCGTACGATGTTGCACACATTGTAACATATCAGATCTTGTCTCCTCAGATACCAACTCACAAAATCGTCTCATACATACGCGCACGCACCCAAACGTACACATTCCGTTGCATAGATGAATCATACAGAAGTATCCACGATGTGCAACACGCTCTAAAACTGCTTTGTCTGGTGGCGTACTTATGACTGGTTACCCTGTTCCTACAAACTGCACCTCATCACAGCCATTGTTCAGAAGCTGCTGCAGTATAAACCCGGCAGTGTGTCTACGAACGATATTGGCATCATCGCACCATTTCGAAAGCAGGTGTGTGAGAAGAAGGATGAAATAGTTAAAGATCTACCAACTATCACTTTGACTGTTAGGAAGGTCACTATAGCTACTCTATCTATTCCTATGGGTAGCACACATGCGTGGTTTCTTGTGGACAAAGAGTGCCTTAAGATTCATGTCGTCATATGGTTCCTACCTTGTTAGAGATCCACGACGATTGCGACTCTTTACAACTATATATTCCTTGTTGGAGCTTTGTCTTCCCCAGTGACAAACATGGACCGATGCTCCGTGGAACTCTCAAGCTTCGCTGACATTGTTTGGTAGTTGTTAAATATGGATAGTTGGCTGTAAATGGTATGGTTCTTTTGCCTCTACTAAGCATACAATGCATCATGCCTTCTCCCTTGGCCTGCTATAACGCTGCACAGGTGTACAACATCAGAACACTGTTGCGTGCGCATGGTCTGGGTGCCATCCGTGTGGGGACTGTACAAGATTACCAAGGTAGATGCTTAATTGACGCCTGATCAATATATATATACATATATACATATATATATATATAT